TTTTTTTTTTTTTTTTTTTGGATCACCAAAGTTACAAAGTACCATATGTTCGTTGAAAGTTTCAGTTTGGATTATAATTATTTGTTTTCATTTTTTGATATTTTCATATAATTTTTCACAAATTGTAGAACTTTCGGAAAGAAAATTAAGCATGTGTATGCGCAAAACGCAAATTCATTCCTAAATTTTTGTGCGAGACAGTTTAACTGTTAGACAAGTCGATTTGTTAGATCTTTGTTACAAATTACACAATTATATTATAACATATTCGAGTTTTGTTTTGTTTTCTAGAGTATGACATTTTAATTTAAAAATATGCATATCTATTATAAATGTATGGTTGTCTGACCGTTAAACTGTCCACGGTAGCTTATTAAAAGTGCATTCTATTGGTTTAATACAACTCAATTTGGTCAAAATTTACCCAATAGTCAACTTAAATTTTAATTTTTACAGTTTGATAGTTTCATTTATCAAGCTGAGCTCAAGTTTAGGGTGCTCGAGCTCGAGCCCTTAACGAGTCGAACTGAGCTCGGCTCATTAAATAAACAATCCAGAAATCGAGATCAAGCTCGGCTCATTTATCTCTATCAGCGAGCCAATTTCGAACTTTAATGAACCGAATCATAAAAAATTACATAAGAATTCTTTTTTCGAGTCTTATCGAGTTGAACTTATTAACCAGATAAGCTTTAAACAAGATCTAACTCAGCTTCTTAAGGCGTTGAGCTCGAGCCGAACTCGAGCATTAACGAGCTGATCTCGTTTAATTTAACAGCACCTACGTAAATGGTCGGCGACCACAATTTCGAACAAACTTAAACCTAATATAAAGAGTGAAGTTATTAGAGAGTAGCTGGAGTTGTTTGAATGGCAATGTGTGCAATAAATGGTCCGAGTATTTGGCTTAATTGTTCAGTCCGTTTCGATTTGCTTATCCTCTCCTAAGAAACGTTTTTATTTTTGCACTCATCAAAAAGCCGTTCCAATTTTATTTTCCTTTTCCGGTATTTATTTAACTATTCATAATTTAAATTTAATACTATTATATGTTTGGTATTAAATTCAAATTCAGTTTGGTAACCTAACAAACTAAAAAAAAGCATTTGGGCATTCAATTGAAAATTCTTTCTTTATTAGTTTACGTCTTTCCCTTGGATCAATTAATAGAATTCATATCTCTATGAATTTGAAAGAGTAACGTCACTAAGTAATAAGTAATAACTAATGTCATGAATAGATATATATAAGGCTAGAAAAATATTATATAGTAAGTCAATAGGACATTTTTTAACAAAATTATATATATATGGAGCGGATCCAATTAGGTCGGCTCTTAAAAGACGGATAGGGGTGGGCGCGGTACGGGACGGTCCGAGATTTAACCTATCCCGGTACTTGTCTCGGTTTTTTGAACCGGTCCGGGACGAGACCTCGTCCCAAACGGATCGGGACGAGACCGAGACAAAACGGGAAAAAAAATGTTCAAAATTCAAACTATTTATTGTTTCACTTAAAAAAAAACTTTGATTCCATACCAACAAATTAAACTCCAATCATGCATTTTGCATTAAAAAAAACTACTGATACTAAATTAAACAAATTAAACATTAAACATTGTCTTACACAAAGCTTGTTAAGACTAAATTAATTATTAAAACAAAAACTGAAATTGTGACATTGTAAACATAAATGTAAATAATGAATAATATATATACTATATATAAATATAAGTAATGTACATTGTTAACTTAAACCAAGCCTGTTAACTATATAAAATATAAATAATGTATACTATATATAATATACATTGTTAACTTAAACCAAGCCTGTTAACATAAATATAGATAATGTATAATATATATACGTATACTATATATATAATATTTTTGTACAAAAAAATAAAACGGGACAAACGGGACGGTTCGGGAAAAAAATTATAAAAACCGATACCGACATTGTTTCAACCGGTTCGGTACCAGGAACGGTACGAAAATTTTAAAAACTGATTGGGTCCCTTTTTTTCGGAACGGGACCATTTCGGTCCGGTTCGGGATCGGGAAATTCAGTTTTTTTGCCCAGTCCTAAATACGGACGTGAGACCCAATCTGGGCCGTCCATTTAGCTGATAAAATAAGGACGACCAGGACTGATTATATATATACATTAAACACGCACAATTCAAATCGCACACAATTCACCTATCGCGCAAAAATCTACATAGAGAATCACGAAAAATCTTCTCAATCTCAACTTTACTAATCAAAACTGAAATTGATTTTGAAATCTGATTACCTTCTCAATCTCAACTTTCCTACAGAGAGAATCGCGCAACAAAAAAAGCAACGATCGAAGGATTACTGAGAAAATTCGATTAAACTAACCTAACAACTAATTAGAACTAGTCTAGCAACATCAGACAACTATCCCAGTAACTAGACATAACTAACATAGCAACATCAGACAACTATCCTAACAACTAGACATAACTAATCTAACAACTATAGAAAACAAACCTTGCAACTACATTGAACTAATCTAGCAACTACATTGAATCAACCTAGCAACAACAGACAACTAACATAGCAACAAGATAAAACTAATCTAGCAACAAGATAAAACTAACCTAGCAACAGCAGACAACTAACCTAACAATTAGACATAACTAACCTTGCAACAACAGACAACTAACCCAGCAACATCAGACAACTAACCTAGCAACATCAGACATATAACATAGCAATTACAGACAACTAACCTAGCAACATCAGACAACTAACCTAGCAACTACATAGAACTAACCTTGCAAATATACACAAATAACCTTGCAACTCAGACAACAAACAATATAACCCTAAAAATATGGATGATATATACTTTACACATGGATTTAATTAAAAAAACAAACAGAGATCATACAAAATAACCAAAACATATTAATTTAATCTAGTAAATGAAAAAGGAAAACCTAAAATAGAAAAAGAGGTTACAAACAAAAACAAAAGCAAAAAAACTCACCGATTCAGACGACAAACAGAAATTGAGACGAAAATCAAAAAAGAAATTGAGACAAAAACGAAAATCGAAAAAGTGCAGGTGCAGAAATGAAAGCGGGAGCAAGTGCGAAAATGCAAGAGAATTACGTCATATGAGAAACGAAAAGATTGGAACGAGTATCTTAATGAAACCGCTAAAATTAATTAATGAGATAAATGAATCCTGAATGTTAGATTAGATGAGCAGTGAACGGACGAGATGAGGTCTCACGTCCTCACTTTAAAAATGCGGCCACAAGATTTGGTACATCATGTGTGGCCAAGATTTACTCTTTTCTTTTTATTATTTTAATTATTTAAATATTATTTTGACCTGTTGACTCTGGCGTGACCGTTGACTTTCGACGTTGACTTCCGGCGAAGTCCTTTGACTTCGAGCGTTGACCGTTGACTTCCGTCGTTGACCGTTGACAACTAACCTTTCAAGTAGGTTAGTTCTATGTAGTTGGTAGGCTAGTTCTCTATAGTTGCTAGGTTAGTTGTCTGTGGTTGCTAGGTTAGTTTTCTTTAGTTGCTAGGTTAGTAGTTGCTAGGTTAGTTCTCTCTAGTTGCTAAGTTAGTTCTATGTAGTTGCTAGGTTAGTTCTCTGTAGTTGCTAGGTTAGTTGTCTGTAGTTGTCAGGTTAGTTCTCTGTAGTTGCTATGTTAGTAGTTGTTAGGTTAGTATTCTGTAGTTGCTAAGTTAGTTCTCTGTAGTTGCTATATGTTAGTTCTCTGTAGTTGTTAGGTTAGTTCACTGTAGTTGCTAAGTTAGTTCTCTGTAGTTGCTAGGTTAGTTATTTGTAGTTGTTAGGTTAGTTCTATGTAGTTCCTAAATTAGTTCTCTATAGTTCATAGGTTAGTTGTCTGTAGTTGCTAAGAATTGTCCGCATTTTAAGAGTTGTCCTTATTTGATCCGCCCCTATATATATATATATATATAAATATGTGTGTGTGTGTGTGTGTATGCTGATAAAAGAAAATATGAAATAATTATTTAATTAGTTTTTAAAAGCACGTTATTTCAAAATAAAACATATATTTTTATTTAGTGAAAAATTTTGCAATTTGTACACGCTTTCTTGATTTTATAATTTTTTTTAATTAAAAAATAAATAAATAACACTTTGAAATATAATATTATCAAAATTAAAATTACTCATTATAATGAATTAATATCACCAAAAAGCACAACCTGAAAGAGATATGCATAACTAAGGGGTGATTGTTTATTAGTTGTACAGTAATTTTTTTTACTCAAACTCAAATTTAACTCAACTTTAACTCAACCCCACTATCT